TATATATATATATATATATGTTTGATTAAAAATAACTGCTGACTCAGCATTAACAAGCTTTTTGATGCATCATTCTAGTTTCCGGGCCTTTGACTTTGCGTCATAGCTTAGATTGAAGATGGTTCACACAAAATTACTCATATATTCATCACTCCTTCCATTCTAGCATTTCAAGATCTTATCTCATCTTCGGAGAAGACTAAATTGCACATGAAATAAGTTTTGGGTTTTAAAGGATGAAAAAATTGTGCACTACTGTTGGAAAACATCTTTTAGTACGGAGAACATAAATGAAGCACAACTAATTGAAGTAAGACGGATTGCTATTTTCATCTTCATACATGTAAGAAACACTCATAATGGGAACATCACAAAGACACAATGGGAACGCTATTGTCACAATCACATCGGAAGTGCTCACCGCCCACCACCTAGTAGCTCAAGAGTTCTGCAAGAATTTGTCTGTCTGTTTAAGGCCAGAGAGAGTTCATTAATAAATATGCTTTCCGAAATTTGAAGGCGTCTTCTGTCACTGCACATCTGCAAAATGTCAGTGCTGTCTGTCAGTTGTCATGTCAATGTCATGTCGTGTTCCTGTCGCATGTGGTCCAGGGGTGCCCTGTCACGTAAGTGCATTGTCAGGCCTTAAACAGACAGACAAATACTTGCAGAACTCTTGAGCTACTAGGTGGTGGGCGGTGAGCACTTCCGATGTGATTGTGACAATAGTGTTCCCATTGTGTCTTTGTGAGGTTCCCATTATGAGTGTTTCTTACATGTATGAAGATGAAAATAGCAATCTGTCTTACTTCAATTAGTTGTGCTTCATTTATGTTCTCCATACTAAAAGATGTTTTCCAACAGTAGTGCACAATTTTTTCATCCTTTAAAACCCAAAACTTATTTCATGTGCAATTTAGTCTTCTCCGAAGATGAGATAAGATCTTGAAATGCTAGAATGGAAGGAGTGATGAATATATGAGTAATTTTGTGTGAACCATCTTCAATCTAAGCTATGACGCAAAGTCAAAGGCCCGGAAACTAGAATGATGCATCAAAAAGCTTGTTAATGCTGAGTCAGCAGTTATTTTTAATCAAACATATATATATATATATATATTATATATATTATATATATAATACATATATATATGTATATATATATATATATATATATATATTATTATCATGTGTGTGTGTGTGTGTGTGTGCATGTGTGTAATATATATAATTTTATATTGCCATTACCCATCACTCAGTGTGAAATTGGGGTTTCCTGGTATTCATGGCCCCAAGAGAGAAGTCCCAAGATCTCCTAAAGTTTACATAGGCAAGAGGCCACACTTGTACTCTCAGTTCATGCTAAGGCAAGTTTAAATGACACTCATCAGGAAACGGAACTGCTGCTCACATCAAATTGTCACTTGAAACCGAAAATTTAGTGATTTTGTGAGCTTGGATTGTGTAAGGAGACTAATCACACCCCTGTTCCAAGTAGAAATATATTTTATTTATTATTTTCAAGGAATAACTGCAAGCTTTGTTGTCAGCTTCTGTGAATGTGTTATGATCAGGAGTACTTATGCCATATGTGCTGCATTGCAGATGCCCTACTTCATTGCCCTGTGAAATAAAAAAAAATTATTGGGATGAATTGGGATGCTCCATACTAGCAAACAGCTGAGTATAAAATATCCCCAATCTATTTTCAGGAAAGTCAGGAAATGCTGCAAAAGTGATGGCATAACTGCATCCATAAAATATGATGAAGATATGGCTTAAATGCAAAGGTCTTAAAAGGTGTGGCTGTCTGGCAGTAGATGCAGTATTGCTATCGCTTGTGTTAGGTATGTTTCTTTTGCATGTTTTTTTGCTGTTGTCAGCTTTTTCCATTCTGCTCCTTTTACATGGTTGTGCCTTTTCAGGGTTCCACCACAAGTTTTCAATACAACAATCAACTATGAACATCTCTCATTTTGTTATTCATCTAGGCCACAAAATGCTGAAATACTGGAAATGGTCAAGTGGTCCTCAAAAAGGAGCCAAAATTTAAAGTTAGATGTAGAATATGGCATGTTAAAGCTTGTCCTCAAAATGATCTAAAAACAAAGCAAATGAATGCTACGAATTGAGTCACGTAATTGCTTTTCATCAAGGAGCATGTGTTCAAGGTTTGGGATCCTAAAGCTTTAATTTTTAGTTCATACAGGCAATAGCATTTTGCAGACAGAGAATGCCCAAGACTCCATGACATCCATGCACTCAACACTTTGTTATATTGTGGCCTCATATGATCAGATGGGTACAACTTTGGGCATGTTTGTACCTAAACAAGGCCAAGTTTTTGGGGTGTTTTAACACTGATTGCAAGACGTTCCATGAAAGATATGTGATGCATTTTGTCAAAGCACCATTGAACAGAGATTTTTGTTTTATTAGCATAATGACCTGAATTATGCTCGCTCTGCCATTGGGGAAGGAAGGGTTCACATTAAGCTGCGGCCATACGTTTTTCCGTTCAAATCAGTAATCTGACATTTCCATAGTATGACTTGGCTGCCTACTCCTGTTCAAAACTTGTCAGCTTGTGAGCATCACCGTTGTTAACTGGCATTCATTTCAGTCCCCTCTGATATCACGACTAGTTTAGTAGGCCCCGTAGGCTGATGACTTGTAAACCTTTCCCAATTTCCCCCAGAGAATCTATCAAGCATGGAAGGCATGGCGCAGAAGGCGAGGGCGACTGGCGATGCGTCGCAGCCGTTCATGGTCTCAGCGCTCCCGCTGGTTTTCAGCAGCGGTCTGCCCGTCTCCTTGGAGAACATGCTGGAGGTGAAAAGCGCCGCCCCCGGGCCAGCGGTGGCCGTATTTGGCTGTGCCTGCCTGAACAACCACGGATGTTTGGAGTGGGGCGACTGACCGTATAAATTCTGCTGTATCTCGTGTCATATTCTTGCTTCCCCCCCCCCCCCCCCACTTGTCACGTCTTTGATCTCCTAGCTTGTCTTGCCTCTGATGCCCTTGCTGGCAACCCTGGCAGCGGAACCTGGTGAAGTTTGTCCGGTTCATGCTCAAGTGCGCGCTGGGCGTCGACGAGACCAAGCTGCGGCTGGTGCGTCGGCCCGCCTGGTGGCCGCGAACCGTGCCCTACTTCAACTTCAAAGCCAGCAGGGAGGTGGAAAAGGTGAGGTGACGTCAGAGGGCAGCGCGGACTGCGTCTGAAATTGCACGATGAGATGGTAACGGGTAGGGCTGATACATCCAGCACTGCCTAATGTGAGCCCTGATCCCAGAAATCAGTCCATGGAAAATGTCCTGATGAAATTTTTTAAAACAAAAACGGTGGTGCCCTGCTTGCCATACAAGCTGGTGGACTGGCATAGCTAGGTGCTGGTGGACTGGCTGAGTGGGGAGGCAATCGGCCTGGCTCGATAGAACGGCCTGTAAAGGATGGCGAGGGCAAGCTATTTCGTTGGCAGTCTAATCTTGTAAGAAATGGTACAATACTAAGTAACGTTTGAATAGGTGCCTGGGGAATTCGATTACTGCTTGTTGAGGTAGATGGCATTCCTAGAATTAACCTGATTGCAGCGTATGTTGTTTTGCATAGGCCGTACAAGACACAATACATGTCAAAGTGTGTTTGTGCATTGGGCACACAGGGCTGTGTCAATTGGTATAGTTTTATCCAGTGCCTCACTGACAGAGCTTTTTGCTTCTGTAGAAAACAGCTGTTGTGGATCATGCTGATGGCCACATCTGTTGAACCCTCAAGATCACTCACCTTTCAGTCAGCGGGCGGGTCCGGACGCGGCCTGCCCAGACCTCGCTGTCTGCTCACCGGCCTCTACACACAGGGACATGCGGAGCGTCTGCGCGAGCTGGTCCGCTGTTGCTACCGGGGCAACGCATGCGAGTACCTGGTGCGCTTCTGTGCCGACCTCGAGCACCACTGCGCCTCGGGCCGTATGCTCTTCAAGAACAACTTCAATGGCAGCTCGTCGCTATATGAGCGGGGCACCAAACCGACTGGTGGTCACGTGCCTCAACGAGAACCTGGTGCGTGCCGACGTACCCGGCCACCGGAACAGAGGACGTCGGCACGGTGGCGTGTGGTGGATAGGAGGAATACGGCCGGCCATCAATCCGTGAACACATCCGTAAACCTGTGAAAGGGACTGCCGTGTTGCGCTGTCGGAACTATAGCTGGTTTTGCATGCCACGAAAGTACACTTCCGCCGTCTTGCCAAGGTAGCAGCGTGGTACCCATTTCATACACAGTGGCGCGAGCTTCCCTTTGCAGTATTTCTGACGCGGTCCACGGTTGCTGCTCACGCAATGTGACCCTCTTGCCACGGCGGCGCCGTCCTTCCTGTGTCACGCTGCCACCAATACGACACTCCCTCGTCGGGGGCGTGCCGCGCCACCAATGGCATGACTGTTGGATTTCACCCCTCCAGGAGTACGACCGGCCGTGCCCCGACAGCGCCATGTCCCCGCGCCGGCACCTGTTGCCGCGGCTGGCGCGCGGTCCCGGCCATGCCAGCAAGCTCGCCATGGTTCAGCCGCCGGCCAGCGACATCTTCCTCTGCGACTCGTGCAGCGCCGAGTTCAGCTCCGTCGCTGATGTCAAGGCAAGCCTGTAGTTCCTGTGGTTGAGCTCTCCGCCGAAGTCAGCCCCGTGGGGAATGCGACCGTCGCCCATTGGTCGCCATCAGTGCTGTGAATGCTGCCAACTCGGGTCAATTTAGGTCCCAAGAACTTGCAGCGTTTGTCATGGGGCCAGCGTACAATGCTAAGCAGTATCGAGCAATAACAGACACTTTTCTTATACTTGGCCGCTTGTATTCATCACTTCACATCCCGCTGCCTGACTGGACTTTGCAACGATGAATGTGATCCCCTCTACAGTTGACATTTGTGGGTGTGGCAGCATGTGCAAGCTTCAGCAAAATCCTTTTTTCCCATGTGAAGTGTCTTTCCAATCTGACAGCTTTTATTGTTTTTGTTGTTGCATTTATTTCAGTTCCTTGGTTCTTCCTCATTCCAAGGAACAAGATCATCCATCGTTTCTGCCGTCTTGAGGTCAGCTTTAAAATACAAGCCTCGGGTGGCTCAAACGATGATAACTGTGGCCCTTTGGGTGCTATTATAAAACCCACTTTAAGATATATGAAGCCTCCTGCTTCTCACCATCAAACGTGCTAGTTTACTGCTTCAATTTATTTACAAAATTGTGCTGATTGGGCCAAGAAAAAACATCGGTTTCCTGGCCTTGGGTGGACAAGAGTTCTTTCGCTGTTTGTCTGAACTGCGAAAGTGGCAAAAGTGGCAAGTGTGCTCGACTATTGCGTGTATCCACTCCTTCAGTAAGCTGCTTGTACCATTCATCTGTTTCTAAATATCACAGTTCTACCGAGGGGCTCTGGGGGTTATTTATCCGGGTGTATAGGGCTGAGTGTATCCACCAGAGCTCTAGGGGCTCTGGTGGGCTATCTTTGTCCGCAATGTGCACTACTGTACCTTCGGCAGCCTACAAACATGGCTGCATGACTAGGATGAGACGCGTGTGCAACCACCCGTCAACGGTTTCTACCGGCCTTTGTTGAACACCCATCGTCCCTTGCTCTCATACCGTGTGGATGCCTCGTGCATAACAATGGTGGCAGCGGTGGGACCTGCAAACGTTGGTAATGTCCGTCTAGACCCAATACTTACTCAGTTGGCGCATGTGGATTGCCACAACGTCTGACAATCCTGGGTTGAGCACATGCTTCCACGCCGTAACATGTGCTCACCTGGCAATTGAAGTTAAAGGGAGTATTTGTTCCACATTTGCATGGGGTTTTGAAGTGAAATAGTCATCTTAAAAGCATTCAGTGCAGTTTACAGCCCTGCCACTTTAAGACCTAAACATCTCTACTTTCTGAGCTACACGCCCACGAAAATATGCCGCCTTTTTTCGTGCATCATTGTCACCCAGACGTTCGTGACCCCATAATTACGTCATTTAAATCCTGCCATGGCGTTGGCTATGCGGGATCAAGGCGAATAAAAACATAATTGCCGAGTCGTTTATACTTGGCGCTCGTGAGCACGATTTCCGTATAAAATGGCCGTCAACTCTCTAAATGTAAAATGGCCTAAATAAAATGGCTTCTCAATTAATGTTGTGAAAGTTACGATGATGCAATCAAACAATGACGTATTGAGCAGCATATTCACTGAAGGGAATGTTTCAAATTTTGCGATCGAGCATTGAAGCGAAGGAGAAGAAGCGAGCATCACATATGATGAAGTAAGCTCTAGTAAAACTATTGATATACTTCTAAATAGAAAGGAATGCTCTAGACAATCAAATTTCTCGATTTGGTAGATATGCTCCTCATCACATCAGTTTTTAATTGCGTCATCGTACCTTGCACAATATTGATTGGGAACCAGTTGACGACCGTGATATCTGGAAATCATGCTCACGAACACCATATGTGAACAATTCGACAGTTCCATTCTTGGGCCTCGGTCGCCGCATGGCCATTGGAATGGCATGATGTGAATGGCGCTGTCATGGCGTCATGTATGCCTGGGTGGCCTGAAACGGTAAAGCGAAAACGTCTGCACATATCTGCGGGCGTGCAGCTCAGAAACTATAGGGACTAAGGTCTTACGAAAGGTAGGCTATGGACTGCACCGGATGATCTTTAGGATATCTATTTCGGTTCAAAACTCCATACAAATTTGGAACACCCCCTTTAAAGAGAAATGGTGTCGCGTACAGCGGCCTTCTCCATTCAGTGTACCAATACTTATAAGTGAGCGAATTTCATCGTACCGATTGCTTGCTGCAGTATTTTCAAATGTGGAACATTACCTTTAGCCTGACTCACTTGGCGATGCCTGCTAGTTTGCTGCCTAGAATGGGCATGATGCTTTAGTAAGCAGACTAAGGCCATGGACAAAGTGGAAGTTGCTGTAGCTATCATGCAGAGCTGTTGCACGATAACCAGTTCATGGTCTGTTCATCAAGCCCGGATTGTTGGACAAGGCCAAGACCTTGCGACACGCTGACCCATCTGCATGGTGAACGCACGAGTGTTGGGGGAGGTCGGCGTATTTCCCCATATGCCAGGGGTCGTGGTCCGGTCCCCGGGAACGTGGGAGGGAGGCTAACTCTACCGTATTCACTGTGTTGCCCACTTGGTGACGGAAGGATACAAGACTCACTTGAGCTCGCGATAGGAGATCGGAGACCGTCTCGTCACGTTACAGTATCTGCGCCTGGGCCTGTGTCGTGCACCCGCGCCATACGCGCGTCACGCGCGCGCTCTTGCCGTTTCAGGCGCACGAGCGCGAATGTGGCGTTACGGCGGATGAGGAGTCGGTCTCGGACACCGAGTCGGTTCGCTCCGAGCCGGAGGTGCTGTGCCGCGACCAGACGCGCTTTCTTAGCTATGTGGGTCTGGTCCCGGCCGTCAGCAGCGGCAAACAGGTAGGCACGAGGCGTTGGGAGGCGCTGCAGGGCTGCGTGTGACGGATGAGGAGACTTGTGGAGAATACAGCGCTCGGTGGGTTCATGGTGGTAGAATAAGAGTAAGCATGTACCTGGAATTATTGGTCTCCTAGCATTTATGCGATTAGTGCGTGATAGAAGCACATCTCCGTATGTTTTAGTACAAACTTAGTAGTAGTAACTACAAGCACTTGACTTGTAATCGGAAGACTTTTCCTGTGTTAGCAGCTCAAGGGTACGAAGTGTTGTAATGACACATGCATGGCTGAAAGTCAAGCACTATGCGTTCTGTTTGAGACTCAACAACACCTAACCGCGGCCGCAGAATTGCGTGGCCGAAACGCTGTGCAGATACTTATAGGCCAAAGGAGGACGGTAATTCAAACATTTCTCATCCATGACGCTAAGGCCTAGTCTCGACCCGCTCCATAAACCTGGAGCATGCTTTAGGGCTGTGTTCCCCGCTCTCGGCTCCGTCCCGGCCATAGTCATCTTGTGTCGCTCGTAGTTCCGCCTTTCGCTGAAGTTCCTGGCGCTTGCCCAGCGGCGCGCTCCGTTCGCTGTCCCAAGCCGCCTGCGTGCCATGCCGTCTGGTGCCCGCTGACCGTTTAGTGCCGTCCCCAGCTGTACGCGTCGCCGAGCAAGCAGAGCGCGTCGGCCGAGCGGCGGCAGCGGCGGCGGCTGGCTCCGCTTGGCCGTTACCAGGCGGTGGACCTGAGCTCGCCGCTGGGCCGGCGGCTGGGCGCCGGCGTGGCGCCGCCCGCCGACGGCCTCGTCGACTACGAGCGCTACTGTGATGACGGCAGTAACAAACGGTGAGCGACGGTCAACCAGTGAAGATAGGTGGACGATGGAGGGTGGCGTAGCTGGGAGTAAGCCCGGGGAATGAGAAGCAGGGGGTGAGGGATGATGCACACAAGGAAGCAGATGTCGCTGTGAGTTGGAGGGGTGTGAGTAATGTATCGTGAAATTGAGGTCGTAGGAGTTCAGTTTCATGACGGTAGGATATGATCATTGACTTCTACTTTCCAGTGCTTACCTACAGTTCCTTAGCATAGACAATTTGTGAACGATATACGCAGCTAGAAAATCCCTCTAAGCACTACGTTTCATCCCGCTTTCATTCAGTCAATTTTTAGTGATTGAGAGTGATTATGAGCAAGGGCGGAAAATGATGTCGTTGACTACTTTTCGCTTCCTATTCTATCCAATATTACGGTGTCATTATCTGTTAACGTCGCCTTCGTGTTTCCCGGCACGTAGCAGAGTGCATATATGGCTATTATGTACAGGTCGCGCAAAGGTAATGGGAGGTGCTAAGATCCAGCTGGAATATTGAGCATGGCGCCGGTCTTTTTTGTTTGGAACCGCGTATGGTACTCCGCGTGATATCGCACCGTCTGTACGTCATGCATTTTTGCTTTTTGGCGTCGTGCAAAGTAGAAAAACGAGGAAACAACGCGCGTGGTCCCGGTCAGCGTGGCGGCTGGCCGACTTTCTTGGCAATCGTCACTGCTCCGGTCACCGTCCAAGCCCTGTCCAGCCTCGTCCAGATGACTAACAACAATCTGTATGCGGCTTGTGCCGTCAGTGGAACCATGCGTAGAGGGTAGCTGGATGTGGAGCCGCTTTCTGGGATCGCCGTGTCCTGAAGAGCTTACGTTATGGAGAGGCCCTCCGGAGCTTCCAGGGAACCTTTGAACGCGAACAGCTGTCGATTGGGTGGGCCTGTGCTACGCGATCGACGCAGGGATGACGCATCATTGCCTTGTTTTGGGGGCTGATTCAAACAGAGCATTGTGTATGGGAACAGGCTCTGCATTGTTGGGAATGATGCGCTCTCTTGGAACTTAATTAATCTTCCGAAGTGAAAATATCTCCGGACACACGGCAAATCTGAGTGTCCAGCGTGGCATCCCTGGCACTCACATTATTACGGGCGAACTTCACATGTAAACATCTGCGACATGATTGCTGGCATGATTGCGACACCGTGACAGGAAGGGCGGGCACCGCGGGAAATCGAACCCCGTACCTCTGGTTTCCCAGACGCGTTAACCACTACACTACCGGCACCCTCTCTCTCTCTCTCTCTGCGCGGCGGTGGCCGTTACGTATCTCTGCTCAGCATTCGCTTCCAGCCCTTCAGCTTCCGATAGCCCAGACGGCTATGACAAACGCATATCTGGAGGCTCATGAGGTGGCTGATGTACGACAGAGTACAATTTTAGGCTCTCACCATACCCGGCCAGTGTCCCAAGCGACTATGGACTCCGATTGGACGTTGGTAGTAGGGGCGTGCCCAGAGAGAGAGAGAGAGAGAGAGAGAGGCGACACAAGGGACTGTAAAACGTTGTTTTTTTTAAATTCTCGAAAATGAAAATTGAGGATATTGATCGCACTACAGTAAGCTCATAGACGCAAAAGCACGTGGTCTTACGCAGTTGCACGGATGTATGCCTGATGGTTCCGGAACTCTGCTCGGGTTTGTTGTGAACCGCATCATGACTTCTCCGGTGGCCTGTGCCAATCCCGCTGAATACGGGCGTCACTGACGGCACGTCTGTCGGCCGCACCTGGTTGGCCCTCGGCTCCCGACAGGCTGTGGCGCCAGCCAGCGTTTCCCGTCAGCTGGCGGCCTCCGCGCAACGGCCGCAGGATCGTGCACCGCTGGAGCCATCTGTACTCGTTCACGGCCGCCCAGCGCGCCGAGCGGAGGCGCGTCATCAGAACCGGTCAGTGACTCACCGGCGCGCCAAGCAGCCCGTGTGTCCGGCTCTCCCCCCCCCCCCCTTCCTCCCCCTCTCTCCGGATGGTTTACCGTCTGCGTGGTTGGAACGGCTGCTGTTTGATGTGTTTTGGTCGGTCAGGAGCCGAAGAGTTCTGTTGTCATTGGGGTTTGGCTACGCCCTCAACGGTTAAGTTCCTTTAGCGTTAAAAATGATCTTAGCTTCTTATTCTATCACACCTCTGCCTGTAAGGGGGATCCAGCTCTTGGCTGCAAGATGCCACTATACCTTAACAGCCCCTTTAGGAAATGTATCTGCGAGTTTTGGTTAGTTAGAGTCTGCCAAATTCACTTGCATGGGCAACTGTTGGTAGCTTGCTTCGTTTGAGTGGCGATTGCGTATGTTGTGTGGTTTTAACCGACCGATGTGGTGCGGACCATCTGCACCGCTGTCTGAGAGGCGGGTGCCCAGTTCTGCTGGCAGTGACGCCGCCGTTGCCCCCGTCCGTCTGACCGGCTGCGGCCCGTTCTAGGTCTGACGTGCCGTTCGCGGCGCCTGCTGCCGCTCGTGCTGCCCTGCTCGGTGCCGCTGATGCGGCTGTCGCCAGAGCTGATCGCTGAGGCGTGCCAGCCGCGCACGCCGCCGCCGCCGGCCCCGGCCAGCCCGGAGCGGGCGTGGCGGCCGCCGGCGGGCGCGATGGGCCGGCTCTGGAGGCCGTCAGCTGCCGCCGACCGGACGCCGCCGTCGTCCGGCGCGCAGGTGGCCAGCTGGACGGCCGCCGCGGCGCAGTACACCGTCCAGAAGCCGCCGGCCGACAGCGGCGAACGGCGAGCGGCCCCGGCAGTGATTGCTGCGGGGCCCGAATGCGTGCGACGGCCTGTGGGGCGCCCGCCGCGCGGCTCGTTGGCGCGGCATCCGCTGGTGCGGGGCACCGCCGGCCCGGCGGCGTTGAGACCTTCGCTCGTGCGAGGCAGAGTGGGGAGACCATCCTTCACACAGGGATATACTTGGCAGTGTTCGCAGGGGCGAGGCAGGCCTCCGCTCGTGCGCGGGAGCGTGGCTCGACCTCCGGGACGGGGCGACTGGCCGCGCGGGCCGGGGTCCCGTGGACCGCCAGGAAGGACTCTCCTGGTGCGTGGCAGCGTGTGCAGGCCGCTCGGAAGCAGCGCACCGAGCCGCCCGATCGGCCGCGAGACGCGCGATCACGACACGCTCGTCATCGACCTGTGCTCCAGCGACGAGGACGATGGCCCGTCGCTGCCGGCGCCGGCGCTGCCATCGCCCAGCCGCCGGTCAAGGTTGAGCCCGACGCCGCGTTGCCCGTCACCGTCGCCAACGGCACCAGCTCGCCGTCAAAAAACGCGCGTAGCCATTGGTCGCGGAGCTGCGGGGGCTCGGCCAATGGTAGCAGCAGCTTGACCTCGCTAGACTCGGACGATCGAGCAGGCGGTGACCGGCCGGCGGCCGGCAGCGGCGCGTTCGCTGCTCTGTCGCGCGGGCATGGCCGGCTGGCTCACCGCCGCGCGCGCCGCCGACACGGCACCTGTGAAGTGCCCAACTCCCGCCGACCACGGCCATTGCCGCTATGCCGGCCACGGCTATCACTGCGGGGCCGCCGCCGGCCGGTGCTGAGAGTAGTGGTGGATGCGTCTCTTTGCGAAAAGTTTGAGAGGCTGAACGTTCCACTCGGTCTGACCCGCTCGATCCGTCAGCGGTGCGCACGCGGTCCTGGTGCACCTGGTGTGTTCGGCCCAATGCCGTTGTGCCACGCGCGTCTCTTGGACCGCTCCTCAGCGCGAATGAAGCACCCACGCAAGCGACTTCCGAGTAGAAGATCTCAGATTGGAAAGGCGTTTTGACGCAGCTGTGCTGCGTTGTAGCGTGCTCAGTTTCGGTGCCGTCTTCGGTGGCGCCACGGTGCGCCGCCGCATAGCGTGTGACCCGCCCGTGTGGAGCCCAGCTCCTCGCGAGTCCCGTTCAGCGCCGTCGCCGCGTTGCCATGGCGACCTGGCGACCGGAGCCGGCTGCACGCCGTTCGCGTCCGCGTCCGCGGCCCCGGCCACCGCTGGGTGACCGCAGTCCCTCCTGCATGGCCTGGGCGCGCTGCGCAGAGCGCGGCGAGGCGTGATAGTGTCACATCCCATAGCTGACGGTACGATTGGAGGCCTGCCCCTGCATCGTGACGTCACGGCCTGCCGGCACAGACCACAGCAAGTGTGATGGCGGGGCGGCAGCGGCGGCGGTGGCCACCGCTGGGAAGCCGGAGCTGTAGGGAAGACCTGCGCTGCTCCACGTCCCCGGCGTCACGCGCTCTGTGGCTGCCGTGGAAGCATTGGTACCATGTGCTGACCTGAAGTCAGGAGCGGTGGTGTTAAGATTGTGGGTCCTGAGTGATGTTACACGTTCCCTTGCCGAGCGAGTGGTGTCCGGGGTTGATGCCTCGGCGGCTGGCGGTCTTGTGTTTGATCAAATGGTCGTGCAGTCGTAAGGTCGGTCGTGTCTCTGCAACCAGCGCATCATTTACATTTTGCTGGCGTTTTTCGTCTTGTTCGCGGACCTTTCTTATCCTGTGTCATGTTTTCATTCGAGATGAGCGGAGTCGATATCACAGGCGCTGTGATGACGTTTGGCGGGGATCTGGATTATCATGCCACCGGCAGTCCTGGCCTCAACCTGGCGAGCGTCTGGTCTCGTCCCGCTGCTGCCTCTGGCGGGGTCACGTCCGGTGGTGGCCAGGCAAAGGCCAGGCCTCCGTGGCAGTTGCACCTTTTCATGTGCTGGAGAGTTCCGTGACGAGCTGCGCGGAGTCGTGACGTTTTGTCTCGCGATCGTCGTGCATGCTTCACAAACTTACTGGGAGCGCCTGCAGACCGAGCTTCCGAGCCTCCAAATCAGGCAGACTGTGCGGTGGCTCCAAATTGTGATACCAACTCGGCCAGCTGGATTCAAACGGCCATCTCCGACTCCTTAACAGAAAGCACCGATCCTTAACAGAAAATATCCCGGCAACGGGCTTTGGAAAAGAAAACTGTCGAGAAGGCGAGACACGATTTCTTTAATAAAACCTCAGCTGTGTTCAATGTCGGGTGAACACCCTACGGGGGGTGTGTATGTAGGACGTAACAGACAGTTCCCAACGCCTGCACGTATGAGCAACGTCAAAATCTTGACCATGGGGCCGCGATCGAAGCCCCTCGGGGTTGAGGCGCACCGATTGTCTGGATATCCGATGTTACGAGCCGTGCTGGTACTGTCGGCCGTGCCCCGAGCGTGCTGCGGTCTTGCACGCTGCGTGTAGGTGATTAACTGTAAAAAATAAGGTTATGTCACTTTTCGTTGACATCAGTACCGGTCTGGAAGGCTTGCAAGTCATGTAAATAAGAACTGTAGCCTGGATAGGTGAAATTTTAATAGACTTCCTAGCGGGCACATATGGTTTCCACTCCAGGATGGTTTTCCAGTGTCCCCAGAATCTACATACCTATTCTAAGCAAAAGGTCACACGCTCATTACAGGTTAGCGACCTTGTTTGACTTCAAAGGTCATGGTAATAAAAATAATGCACGACTGCTTGAGTTCTGCATTTGAAAAAGCGACAAAGATAACGCTAGGTAGTATGCTCCTAATTACAAAATGTTGACCGAGGTCATCTGAGTTCAGCGACCTGTTCTGACATTTAACAAGTCCGTGGAAGATGCATAATGCGGTTCCTGGCCGTATCAATAAGTTCGCATCGAACACCTAAAGCTATCCGAAACAGCAAGCATTAGAGCGATAAAGCACGTTGGTTTTGACCTTGGACTGACCTTCGCACTTGACCCTAGGTCAATGGAATTCATCTTTCATTGTTGTGTTACCTAAGGAAGTATTCCTGAGGTCTATGGACTCGTGTAACATTCCGTTGTTGCATCGGACTAAACGCTTCCCTAAAAATTGACCACTGAATCCATGGCCTGACCCTGACCTGCCGCAGGGCAGCAACCGTAGTAGGTACATTAAAGTTTTTGATACCAAACGATCCGCTACTCAACTGTCCTACAGCCATGCCAAATTTGTGTGGCTACGCCGAGCCGTTCGGAAATCATTCGGGAAAAACCTTCCGGGTAGGGTCCAAATTGAGCCCCCAACTCGAGCGTGTGTTTAACCACTGCGCGGTTTTCCGCCTGCGCTCTATCGGTGGCGTTCAGTGTTGCTGGTCTCTGGCCGAAATTAAAGCCCGTACTGTCCCAAGGGTCCCCAAGCAAGAGGCTCCCTGACTAACATTTGAGGTCACGGCCTTACGAACGGGAAAGGGGCCACGTCCTTAACATGACCCATGGCCTGTCCTTCGATTTCTTTGGCCTTCCAACCGAGCCCTTGACCTCTGGTCCCGAGGGGCCCTTCGGCCCTCTTCGGGGCTTCTCAAAGATCTGCACAGACTCGAAGCTACTAGCCGACACATGGCGCTGTGTCAGGCGCTGTCGGTCCCCAGCCAATATAAGGCCCCGACCAGTGTTTTAAAGATCCCGACCAATATAAATTGTTGCCCCCGGCCTTGCTCAGGTATGCTCAACGTGCACGTGCTCCCAAGATTAAAACTGGAAGGGTGCCAACGGACTGATGCTGTTGGTCTCGAGCCGACTCAGACACCTGCGTTATCTCGGGGGTCTTCAAACGGTGCAAGAGGCCATCTGACTGATATTTCAGGTCATGACCATACGGGCCGCTATTGTTTAAGTGAGTTACAACGAGCCATTCGGACTCCTGTGCTCTCTAACCGGCCTGTAATCGTGGTTCCGATGGGCCGCCCGGGCCCCTCTTCGGGCCTAATCGGACACTGCCCCTGGTCGGTTCGGCACCTGTTGCGAACACAAGACCCTCTGTTAGGTGCTGTGGACCTCTTGCAGATATGGGGGCCCCAACCAGTGTAAATCGCT